TTCTATGTTCTCTCTTTTTCTTTTCTTTTTTTTTCTCCTCCTTGTTTTGGTGCGAGGAGCTTGGTTAGTACCGGCCAAGTAAACCCCGAGACCTCGGGCCCTTCTCTAGAAATCCAGGCCAGGTGAAATATACAAAGCTTCTTCCAATATATTAGGCTCCACATGAGTAAGAAAACACCGTGAAAGGTTTATACATGACATAGAACCGCTTCACATTCTGCTCTTTATGCAGGATGCATGTCACCAGCTCATCACGGAGTAGACTTTAGCTTCAAGCCGTGTTGTTTACGTCCCAAGTACGTGCCGCATGAGTTAATGCAAAAGTCAATTTTCCACTAAATCTGAAATGGAATTCAAGCTCTATTCATTACATATAACAATATATTCTTTTCTTGATAATTCAAGCAATATTCTGCGGTGCTATAACCTACCGGGAAGTTCATAACACAGATATCATTTAGCACCTAAATGCCTTCATAAAACTCTTACTCGTTACAGTGGTCACCCATTCTCTGGCCGTGAGTGGATAATGGTAACTACTGACAATTAAATTAACATCAGGCCCACAGTGAACTTTACATTTGGTAACATGTCCACAACTGGGAACTACACAAAAATGAACAAACTGTCTTCATTACAATAGCAATTGATCAGCTGATTATACCTCTTCTAGATTAATCCTTCAACGGACATGGATCAGTCTTGAGTGATAATTACTTATGTGCAGAAAGGTTTGTTTACTTCCTCTATGCCTGTCTTGCATTGGAGAAGTTCAACACCAAAGGCGTCATGTCTGCATATGTTGTCAGTTCACTCGTATTCTGTGGGATGAAAAATACCGAGAGTCAGATATTAGAAACTAAATGAGCAGATTCTGTGTTTATTTATTTTTTCTGTCTTTTCACTTCATTCTAAAAGTAGATAGAAAGATCGAGAAGAAAATAATATTAATATGGATTTCAAGCAAAAACTGGTATCAAGAGAGGATCCAATAAATAGACTAACGTAAGGTGATATGGAATTTGGAAAGGCAGGAATACTTTTGACTTTAATGGGCAACGTTATTTCCTTCATCCCTTTTAGTTAGTCTTCTATTGTCATTCTCATTAGTAGAGTTTTGGTGAGTAACAATGCACATGAAACTAAACTTTTAGCAATACTACAATTCTCATTCTAGAGTCAGCAACCGAAGATGTGGAATAACTTCATTAAAAGCAGGTTGGCAAATGTGACCTGTTAACATCTAGCAATACCACTTCCTCATCCTTAAATAAACAACGAGGATGTTGGTTTTTTTTTTTTTCATTTATTGCCAAAAGATGGTATTAACTGTGTTACTGATGATCTTTCTGTTAATTAATTCCATGGTAAAATGTATGTATACAAGGATGTCACCATATGATAGATTCAGCTAAAACGAATGTCCTCGGTATATGATTTCAGATTTCTCTTTAAACATAATAGCATAGAGTGGTTTTAAAACAGAAAAGAAAAAAGGTTTCTGAGATGCATGATAGCAATATAAGTAATTAGACAGAAATCCGTGCTAGATTGTATCACCTTACACTGCTTTCCGAGCGGCTTTGCAAGAAAACCTAAAAATCTTCAGCTTCCACTTCTGATGAAGAAGAACTGATAAATGAGTTCTCCAGAAAATTACTTGAGTTGAACTCTCCTTTTCTGTTCTTCACAGCTTGAATTTGGTCAGCAAGTGAAATTCTTTGTCTCATATTCTCTAATTTAATATGATCTATATCCAAATTGTCAACAATTGGCTGATGCTCAACTTCAATTCCACTCTGAATACTGGAAGAAGTCCCCAAGTTCTTTTTAGGGTGGTGAACCTACCATAAAGTAATTAGGAATATCAATAAATTTGTGGACCGAGTTCATGCTTGTGCACTAAAAGCAGTTAATAACTTTCGGAAGATGGAAGATTTGAGCAAATAACAGATTGCATTTCCCAAGCAAAAGATAAAAAAATGCATGAATCATTCAAAAAGTGAAATACCAGGTAGCCGATGCACCATGTACGTATTCAAGGACAAGGATCCACTGGATCCATTGCCATAAATCATTAGATGACTGATGCCAAATGAAGCATTAAATATGCTAGTAGAAAATATTTGTTGCTTTATAAAAGCCATCAATTATACCTTGCTAAACCTTGTCCTGAGTTTCAAACCCTTTGACAAAGCCATCTTCATTTTCATCTCTTCTGACTTCTTCCGGGCTAAGGCCTTCATTTCTCTTACTTTTGCCTTCTCTTCTCTCTCTTTCCTTAGTTGAGCATGCCTGGCTGCATTTTCTGCTCTAATTTTTGCAGCTTTCTCCGCTTTTAGTTTCGCAATTTCCTTGGCCCTTGCCCTCTCAGCTTTTTGCTGAAGGTATTGGGATATAATAGTAGACTTCATCCTCTCATAGCTATCCCACTCCAATTTCTCTTGGCCAGGATAACCTTCTTTTGCTGCTTCTGCTATACTTCTGGCCCAACTCAAATAACAGTTCTCTTGTAATTTTTTCTGCTGTAACCGCTTTTCCCAAATCTTCCTCAGTGCAGAGCTTATCCTTCCCTTGCTCTGATCACTGCACAAAGCTAAGGGTTACAACTCGGCAATAAATGAGCAATTTAAATTTTTTCGCAGGTTTCAACGGTATACTAGAAGGTTGATATGATATGTCAGTGGTACAAAAAAATACTTTATCTTGGATAGAATCATAAAAGATTTACCGATACAAAGACTACTTTAGCCTAGATAAAATCATAGAATATATTGCCTTACCTATGAGAACGGGGACATTCAGACATTCTTTTCCTGACCTGAAGTGAGCATGGAAAAATTAGACCTTGTGGAGTATCTTGTTCCCTCTACAAGAGTTAGTTCTCAAAACAAATTATACAAAAATATTTTCAGTAACCCTTGGGCTTAGCTTCTAATAAGAGAAATTTATGAGAAGATTTAACCAAAATTCAATACAGGCAATCACAAAAGTTGCCAAGCATTCATATCCAGCACCCATGAGAGAACAGCATGAAAGTGATTCTTACATGACATCACCTTGGGGTCACTCAAGGCTTCAATAGTCCTCTTACTGATGCGATCTCGAGTCTCTAAATAGATTATGAGAAAAATAAAAAGGAAAAACAGGGATGAGAAAAATATACAGGTAAACAAGAACTTAAGTAAAATAAAGTAATCAAGACTATACCTTTACTATGTGTCCTCCCTTTGTTCCATGGTATTCTACCTTTGTTTGCTAGTCCGATTTTCTTCCTTCTTTCCATTTCACTTTCACATATATTAACTATGTTTTTACCAGAACTCGAAGAACCACCTGCTTCATCACGTTGATCCACATCAATGCCAGGCACTTGATACTCTTCAATGTTATTTGCCAAAACATCCTTCCCTTCAATCTTCTTAGGAGAAGATTGTACATTCAACTTAGATAGTAGATCGTGATCATCTATGACTAGATGTAATGTCCCATCAGAATGCCCTTTTGTCCAGGAACAAGCAGTAATAAAGGTATGATATGCATTCCTTACAGGTAATATCAGAAATTTTGACTGGCCAGTTATTCTTTTAAACTTTATGTCATCAACTGCACGGATGGAAACAGGTCCCAAAGAAGTACTTTGTGCATATGGGAAGGATGAAAATGGAAACAATTTCCTGCCATGAAAAACAGTACAATCACAAGTAGGAACTTCCTCTTATGTATGAAAATGAACTGCGACCACAAGCAACCAAACTTATTTCACATACGGAAAAAAAAGTATAATGAAGGAATGATTTCTTAATTAAATATACTAGATGTATAATGTGAATGCAATAAAGCTCTCTTATTTCTCTATTATAAGCTCTCATATATTTTTCCACATGGATTTGCTCATCTGTTATGTTTTGTACGTTCAAGAAAATCACAGTATAGGCTATATACGGCCTACGCCAACTGAAAGAACCCAACAATAACGGTTCCTCATTATTGTATTTACTCTTTAGAGCCTTTACCATGAAATGAGGTCCACTGCAACGTCAGAATAAGGTTCAATGCCATTTGAAACTTTCATGCATATATGAGAACACATAACATATGATCTTATAGTTTATAAAGATAGTATAACGTTATGCATAATTCTAATTGTAAATCATACAAGGATACCTCTTGTTTGATCCATCTAGAAGAAGCTATACATACAACATGGTTGTGGGACCTTCATACCTAGATGTATGTACTTATCCCATCAAACCAAGGGTAGTTATAATACACAAGCTCCTCAAGAGTAACAGCCAGCTATAAACTGAACAATAATTCAAGTAGGAAACAAATTCCTGGACAAGGATACTGTAAGATTTCTAATTCCTACTAAAAGAAACTTGATGGTGGGCAGACTGTAATTATTGGCCAACTACTTTTAGCTTATGTAACTAAGGAGAAAGCCACTGCATTACTCCAGACTTGATTATAGAATAGGATATAAGATGAAAATCTTGGAAAATTAAAATGCAAATGTACTATTTCCTCCGTATCTTGTGTGGATTTCATTAGAAGTGTTCAGTACTTCCTATAAGAAGTCATGGGCATGGTAAGTTCACACTTCACACTTCACAGCAATTCGTTGCAATATTGTGGGGTTTGTGTCTTCGGTTACTATAAAATATGTGTAATTGTTCCATTTATCAACCAGCAATTATCAACCAACTAAACCTCACTTTGAAAGTACCTAAATGAGGACACAACATACAATTTCAATTGGATATGCAAACCATGTATACCTCAAGATCCTAGGAAAGCTCATGCCATGTGAAAGAAAATGTCTACTTAACGGAACATAGATATACTTGCTTGCTCTTTAAATTATTTCCCCTATTAATTATAATGAGAAGGGAGCCGAAATATGATTAAGATACCTTGAGCCTGCATAGCTGTATAAACTCTCCATATTTAATCTGTAGCCAAGCCATTCAAAAAATGGTCAACATCTCCCTGGGAAGGGCCGGAAAAAAAAAGAAAAAAAAATCATAGTAAAGACAGGCCAAGAAACAAATCAAGTATTTGAACACAAGCTCATTAACCTGCCAAAATATATAACAAAGGAGCAACAATGTTAATAATCACTTAGGCTTGATAAGTACATCAAATAATTACTTCACAGATATGATAAAGGCTTGCAAAGGTTTGGAAGAATTCCCTCACTTTTTACACAATAATCATGTTGTGACTATTTTAACCAGGTACTTCTATCATGAAGCCATACCTGTACCTGACACCTTCCCGTACCCAAACTTCATCGACACTCCTTGAATATATGCATACATTTATTATGACATGTACTCAATTATATGATATATGTTTTAATTTAAAACACTTGTCAACCACTTCTAGGACGCATAGCTTACATTTCACATCCATCCATTTCTTGAAAATAATTATATTGGGTCGGGTTAGTTTCAGCACATGCCCAAGTTCAAAACTATATATTCAAAGGGTTGTTTTGGTGTCTAGTTAAAAAATAAGTAGTTTCCAATGAAAAATAATCAACATAATAAATGAAACTTAAAGATATGAGAGGAATTTTAATTCTAATGACATATGAAGTGAAAAACAGTAATGATCTCATGTGCATGGTTTGGAGGAACTTGGTACCAAGCACAATTTTTTGTGCTTGGTAGTGATGTGGCTCATTCACAGCCACTCATTTAAACGGGGGACCACATTCACATAGGTTGGAGTCGTGTCCCCATACCTTACATTTTACAATTTTACCGCGTCCCGTACGAATACCTGCGCTCGTACCAGTATCTATACCCATTTTCATGCAACTTAGTGTAGTGATCTAGATGTTCAACTTTGCATAAAAATTTAGATTGTCATCGGAACTAACCTACCAAAACTTCACTTACACTCATACACTTAAACCCCTCTCAGTTATATACACAAAAGTTGAACATTAAGAGGTATTTTGTCTTTGTTAATTTGTTAAAAAAATTAAAAATCATATCTAAATCTAATCCTTTACTGTGTAGAACTATCGTTACTTATTAAAATTATAAATGTCAATTTTTTGGCATGACATCACAACATCCAATGCTAGAGATGACAAGCGACAAGCGAGAAGTTAGACACCATTCTACTCTAGCAGAAGCAGCAATCATGTGATAGTGAGATTCAAGTTATAATTTATAAGTGTCGGAGACACAGTTTGAGCTAATGCAATTTAGAATATTGCGACTCTAAACCAATGTGAAACTAAACAGCCTGATGGTTCCAGTCCAGGGGTCTATGTTCTTGAATCGTGATCCCAATAGGCAAAAATGTTGTTGATAAATTTTATCAATGTTATAATGCCACAGCAGAGTATCCTGTCTTTCCAAATCAATCCCTAATAGTGGTGAAAGTTCAGATGCATCCAATAACTCCAAATCTCCAAGATAAAAAATTGACAGTGCCTTCTCTAGCTACTCCAAAATTTATCATCATTATCCTCTATCTTGAATAAAATATTAAAGATCATATTGATTTTTCTTGACTTTTAACATGTGTTGGACCATTTGATGTTACATTTACTATATTATTCTGCGATTCAACTCAACAACGTCCCTAAGAGCCCTGAGACCAGGAATTCATGACACTTAACAATTTACTACAGCCCGACTCGTGAATACCAACCCCAAGTCACTGATACATGATAGAAGTCTTTTCCGTATCCGATATGCATCCATGAAATTCTAGGAGTGTGGTATCCTTTCCACCTTTGGACAATTCAATTCTAATCACTCCTCCAGTGTTTGCTTTCATTACGGTTACCTTCCCAAGCTTTGCCAGACACCATTGAAACATATCATTTCTCTTATGGTAATATTGTAATGCAAACCAGAAATAGAAGGAATAACCAAAATTACCATGTCAATCTACTTTGATCAAATAACGAAGAATCAGACTAGCTAGTGAACAGACCACACATTTTAACACAATAACCTAAAAAATGCACCTTTCTGAACCCTAGACCAACCCATTAGACCAAGATACTTAAAAATCAATCAGTCCTTTACCTTTTGGGTCAAAATTTTACATAGAAATCGGCATTTGTTATTGATCAAGGATTCCATGCAATTCAATGAGTTCAAGTAGATTGTCACAGGATTAGAATTTAGTAAGTGCAAGAAAATAAATAAAATTGCATAAAAATTAGCAGAAATAACCAATTTAGTGCGTTCTAGTTATTCAAAAGATCAAAATAGATTAAGAAAAGAGAGATTTTTTTATAGAGAAGAGAGAAAAACTTACAGGCGATGTAAAGTACGTTTTTAACGGAGAGGGAAGAGATAGTGAGCTTCTTGTGAGGTTTATATCTTGCGCTGCTTGGAATTTTCGGATGAGCTGAGTTCTGCTGATCCACTGGAACGGCAAAGCTAAATGGGCTCGTGGGAGTTAAAAATCGTTTGGAGGCCCGGTCCAACGTTGACGTGTTTAATCAGTGCGTCAGCAGATTGCATCTGTCTGCTTTCCTCTTTCCCTTTGTATCCTTTTGCTGGATAGAAAATGAAATAATTAGGGGGGAAATAACTGCAGTTATTTGTTTTCATTGTTTTCTATGGTGATACTGATGCGTAATCGAAGTCGATAAGTTTTTTTTAGCTCCCAGATAAAATGTTGGCTGTCATGTTTTACAAAAAAAAAAATAGCTCCTGGATAAAATTTTGCATGAGAATGTCATGCAGTATTTGAAAGGATACATCTATTAGTCCCTTTTGCCGCTTCAGAACGCTTTTTATAATATGGTGTGATGGAATAGTGGCCTTTAAGATGGTATCAAAGCAATTCAAATCCCACCCAAAACGCATGTAAATTATATCCCTCAATACTTCTCACATTTTTCAGAGTTCCGGTGCAACAACAGACGGTAAGAATATTGTTTCAATTCCACAGAAGCTCAGTATCTAATGACAACCGGATGAATGTGCATTACTTATATCTGTTCCGCCAGTACAACTCAGCAAAATCATGCAACTTCACATAATATTTGACATCGTGTAACAGTGATAGATGAAGTAATTCACATGCATTCAGATGTCTAACCGCGAAGGTTCAACCTCTATACATTGTTATACTGAAACTCAAGGGAACAGAAATTGGTCTCAAATGAACAGCGCCTCCATATGTCAACAAAACCAGAAACCAATAGTAATTACAGACCATCAACTGGAACAGGGGACATCTAGAAATACACCAATGAAGGAAGCAAGGCTCTCAGCAAAATAATCCCATACACAGAACTAACCAGCTGCTTGAAAATCCCCAAAGTCATCTTCTACTACCTCTTGAGAGCTTGTTTCCTTCATTGGGGATTGTGAGTCTTCAGATACTGCTTCTATGCTCGTGCTGCTCAGAGTACTTGATGTAGATTGTGGTGAGTTGAACGGGGATCGATTGATAGGAGTAACAGGCGACAATGGGCCCGGGGGAGGAGGCGGCGGCTTGAGACATATAGTGCCCTCTTTTACTCTTGCTTTTTCGTCAAGGGAAAGATTGTTCAGGCCTTGTGCAAAGAATGAAGATTTTATACCTCGACTTCCCTTCTATTACACACAATCAAACCAATCAGATGTCAAGTGGGATTGAGAGTAGGGATATAAATGCACAAGCTAATTAAAATTGTATAAGTTAACATGTAGAAATTGTAGATATAAGAAATACAGCATGTCTAGAAATGTCATAATCCATCCACTGTAGATGATCAAATATTGATACATGTTATGCATATCAAACCGCAATATATGTTTGTATGTATGCTCTGAATGCTAATGTTTCATAATAGGTCATAGTGTAATACATTCACCAGATACACACTTTAAAAGAAGTGTATATATACACATCATGGCACATACTTCATACATATAGTATTTCTGTACTATTGTACCCAAGCCCGAGTCTGAAGTTTTAAAATTTTCCTTTCAGAGCTCATTGACATTTTTGTCTCATGGTATGTAGGAGTACATGTTATAGACCTAGATCACATGAATTTGGATATCACACAGATAGCACATTACAAATCTCACGGTTAGAAGAACATCAATCTACTTCACCTTCTGTGCTAAACCAGAGTTTGGCACCTTTTATAAGCTTGCTAGTAGATAGCTCATGAGACCTATGTTTTACAAATGCGGTTCCTTAATGACATTATAACTTACCTCTGAAAGGTCTCTGACACAAAATAAAACTTCATTGTTTCACATATGATGTGCACCCCACATACACAAATATGCAAAACCTTTTGGTTTACATGCACACCCTTGTAAAGCAAAAATTCAAATCTTCATCATGTAAAATCCAGGTATATATTTTCCATGTGCAGTTTGCACATGGCTAATACATATGCATGCTTAAAACTCACTCTTTGACAAACGAATAAGTTATAAAAATTGATGTCTAAAAAAATACACATAAATACATGCACTTCCATACATGCCTTAAGAGAAAATGTGTATACAATTCTTGGTTTGTCTTGCCTGAGCTTCTTGGAGTGAACACTGAAATTTTTTGCAACCATGCTCAATAAGATACTGACACAAGCCACTCAGTCAAGTACATGCTCCGCCTTCAACATTATAGATATAGTATAGTTTAAGATATGTTTTGGATGGTTGTTCATGATCAACTGCTTTAAATTTTAACCTACTTGACCAATAGGGTAGTTTTCCTACTTGACAGTTTCTCTCCCATGTTTTATAAAAATCTTCTCTTTCTCATTGTAAACTTGGGCAGGAATTTTAGAACCAACCATAGGGATGCTCAGGCTGGTATCCAGTCTAACAAAATTCGGAATTTCTGCGGAGAGTTCTCAGTTTAGATGCTGTTCCGTAGCTGAAACATTTCAAGGAAAGGGGCTTATCTGGTAATGGTGGTGATTATTTGAGAAGAACAATTACTGCCTTTCCAGTCAAGGAATGCTCAAGAGTTTGAGGCTAAGATGTGGTTTAAATGTGTCTCATCTGGAAGTATTAGCAAAAGAACTTACATTCTTTAGCTGGAGAACCAAAGTTTCTCCTTCTTTAAGACTATAATCAACCGATGATGCCTTCTGATAATGCTCTTCCATCTCTTCAGCAGTCTTCTTTTTGTTTAGATATCTTTAAGCCTGTAAAGGAGCAACAAACTCGAGATGGCATATACTCTACACTGGATTCTCTAGTAAAGAATACATACTGAAGATTAAATCAATAATACAATATTCACAAAAATAAAGCATCTTAAATGCCAACAGAAGATGGAAGTAAAAACATTTGAAAGGATACTTCATATGGTCATAGAGGGCAGCCTGGAAGTCATAAGCTTGAGGTCTTTCCCGGAAACCTATACCAATGAATGCATGCCGCAGACGACCACCTGCACATTACACATACATTCACATATTTATCAGTTAAACATATGAAAATCATAAACACAACGAAAGAAAATAATATCAGTATCCCTTCGGAAGAACACTGAGCCATAGTATTTATATAATTAATGAATTTTCTTCACGTAATGGAGTCATTTTGCATGGGGTGATGTGATAATTATAATGTATCTCTTGATTTAGTGAACAGACAACTCGTTCTAGATATTAACTGTACTCTAAACGTAGCATTTAATATGATTTTATAATATCAAACCGCCTAAATAATTGTAACTCACACGCATGAGCATGAAATCAGCGGGGTTTTTTTTTAGAGATTATCACTATTAACCGTATCTTCAAAGATTAGACAAAGTATGAATTAGTAACTTTCCAAGATGCACTGTATGCTATGCCAAAGTTGTAACGTTTACACAGAAAACCAAAAACAAAGTCTCCATCCAAATTTCTGGAAGCAGCTACATGTATCTTTTCTTTCCTTCCTTTCTGCTGAGGGCAGTCTCCTCAATTAACCTAGTAACTACTGATTGTCTCTAGCCAACATCATTCAGATCTCTCTGGTTACAGTTGCTCCACTAATTAAAATCCTATCACTTATCGGCACTGGAGAACTCATTGGTCTCTGTTGAACATGCTCAAACAACCACAAAAGATTATCCCCCGTTTTATCCTCAATAGATGCAACCTCAAATATTCTTATGAATATTCATCTCTTATCTCATCTTTTGGTTCATTTCCACTCACACATCTCAGAATTTTTATTTTTGTTATACTTCTTTTTTTTAAGAAATTATTCTTAACTAGACCAAAATTATGGTCCGTAAATCAGTGTTGATCTTACAATTGTCTTGTAAAATTCTTCTTCCGATTTCATGGATGTTTTGCGAACACATAATATTCTAGAAATATTTTTCCGCTTTATTCATCTCATATTGATGCTGTAAAGCACATCTTAATCAATCTGAATACAACCTTGTAGTTCCCAATTCTAATCAAGCAGCAACTTATGGTTTATAACGTGATTCCACAAGTCATTGGATATGCCTATATTTATTGGATTCTTTCCAGTAGTTTCAATTACTGAAGAAAGCTAGATTTCCAGTTTTTTCACCACAAGCCAAAATTGTGGTACTAGACAAAGGTTAGCACAGGATATATTGCACCATTAAATCCATCCAGGAGAGTACGATGGAGAAGAACATGAAGGGAGCCTTACAAATTGGCATCAAAAGTGAGAAAATAGCTTACCAATGTTCTCTTCAACCCGAAGGACAAAGTACCTGAGGAAGTTAAAGAAAAAGATACATCAGATACCAATAGTGGTATTTGTATTTTCTGGAATAAATACACAAGGAGTGTAATAAAAGAAATAGGGCATGATTTAAAAGTTGTATTTAGTTGGTTGGAAATTGCTACAGGATTTGTGGCACCCATTTAAACTGGGAGTTACAAAATGGAAGTCGACAACCTGCTGCTGTCAATTACTGGCTCCACTGGATGTGGCTCTCCATTTCGCAGAAATGCTCTGGCATATAGCTCCCCTGATGAAGACATCAAATTATCAAAGAATTAACAAAAGGACTAGTAGAAACAGCACAAAGATTTATGGCTTTACTTCCAAGCTCCACAAACTAAAACATGGTCACACCTGTGGTCTTGTCTTCCAGTCTGATAATGCACTCCTCTCCCTTGCTTACGACCTTTAGTGAACCCTCCCAGTCCCATTTGTTGACATTCCATTCATCGGCCCTGATCAGATATTTATATCCAATAAAAAAGAGGACTTTTTTTGGAAGGTTTCATATAAGCTGAATGCTGACATGTGTACATAAAACTTAGAATACATATAAAAGATAAGGTTAACTGAATATGGAATATGTCAGTCAAATAGGAACTGAGGCATGCTCACATAGATCATAGTCACAGTCTAAAATTACGATAAAAGGTTTAAGCAACTTTACAAACACTTCCTGAAATATAAGAAGAAATCAATACACATAATCAGTAAAGTAGAAATTTATGTTTTAGCACATTTAACCTCGTACAAGCCTGTGAAGTGATCTCAGAATTTCTTCAAGACATAGCACAACAGTACAATGCTACAGAAAATTACGTCATTTACAATGTTCCCTGCCCTCATCTCTTAACATAACTTTTGAATTGTGATCAAAGAATTATGATATGCTCATCCAAAATGAAAGGACTTACGGCGATCCTTAAAACTTAATAGGTTGAGCTTGAACTATGTCTAGCTTTCATGTCAGGTGACGTTTCTTCCAGATCTCTTCAGCTGATGAAGCTACATTGGAAATGTTCTTACAGTTATCTAACATACTCAACAGAGTTTCTAAAAGACCCTGTTGATGGTACGATAACTTTCTTCCCTGTATGTCTGCATCTAATTCAAATAGTTCAAATACTTGTACTTTGTGTCTTTGTCCTTTTATACAGTCCCATGACTTGTGTATTCATAGTTTTATGATTCTCACTAAGCAATGGCCACAAAGTGACGGGAAAAACCACTCAATTAGGCAATTACCTCCCTTGTAAAGAGTACGCTAAGCCTTGGACACTCTGCCAGGAGGAAACATCAACCCCACTTGCATAATCACACCGGTTATTTACAGAAAGGCCACTGAAAGTAGACCAAAATACACTTTCGATTTAAAGCCAAAAGACTGATAGGTACTAGCCAATGGTAACGGACCATGGCCATGCGAACAGCGCTGTACAAAATGGCTGTTACTCACGCCTTAAATATTGATAAAAAGGTTGGTCCCAACCTACGTTGCATGGGTATAGGTTACGGGTATGGGACACGACAAATTTGTAAAAGGTAAGGTACAAGCATACTGGCTATATATGTATGTTATGTATATTTATATGTATTAGAATTAATAATTTACATAAGATCAACATTGTTTTTTCATTTACATCAGATCAATATATAGGGAATATATGTGAAGTGTAGAATATACATCCAAGAAGTGTATGCGTTTGTTTTAAATTAAAACATGTATTATATAATTCAGTATACACCTGAATAAACATATGCATATACTCAAGATGTGTCCAAGAAGTTTCGGTAAGGGTACAGGAAGTGGCCATTCCTTGGGTATATATCCCATCCCTCCTATAAAAATTCCAGAATCAAAATTCCAGGTCATTTATTGACCAGCCATGCTTAACCTATAGCATTCAGAATTGTACCCCTAAGAATTTAGAAGTTCCAAATGGGCTCAAAATTTTTGATTTCTAAGGGTATCTCCAGCATGCTTAAGCATAAGTGCACCTATATTGTTGGTGATTAATCTGCATTTCCTGTAAAAACTTTTATCAAGCTTCTCAAAAATAATTGAAGAATGGTGTTACATGTAATTCACAAACCAAGTTCTGTTGCTCGATGAGTGTGGCCTCCAACTTAGGTAAAATCAATATCTTGGACAATATGTATTTTCCAACAGAAATAAAATTGGTGATACGTTAAATGTTTCTGCAAGATAGCGTTCCTTATTCCTCCAATTCTCCCTCTACCTACAGCCCAAGTGTCCAGTGCAGGCAAATGAATTTTAAATCAAACATGCATACCACTCTTCTGACTGTAGACAAAAACTAAACAGAAACATAAAGTGAATGACAATCAGTGGTTTTCCACTCCTGAATACTAGGATAATTGCCACATATGATGTTCTACGTGGAGTACTTTTCAAATTCCAAATTACTAAGGACAAGTTCTCAATATACTAGTCCGGTGATTTTAGGCAGGGAATCACCACTTTGGCTCTTCATTTAATTTTGCTATTGACATTCAAACTCAAGATGGTGAACAGATAATGGACTTTGTACAACGGCACTTTACATAACATTACAATGAAGCCAAGGAAGAAAGATATTGGCAAGCATAAGCTTGGTTCAATTGAACATGTATTGCATATGACAGGATGTTTATATAGAGGAAAATTACCATCTAACAAATATCATTAGCACACATAAAGGGGAAAAGGGAGAATGAACTATGAAATTAAGAATAAAATGGAATGACTTACCTCCTTAACAATCTTGCCTGGATTTTGTTTCTTTTCGACACAATATATGTAAATGGTGAGAAGCATGAACTCGTGCATCTCTAAATTTTAGTTAGAGCCTTAAGCATAGATAATGGACTTTGTACAACGGCACTTTACATAACTACAATGAAGCCAAGGAAAAAAGATATTGGCAAGCATAAGCTTTGTTTAATTGAACATGTATTGCATATGCCATGATGTTTATATAGAGGAAAATTACCATCTAACAAATATCATTAGCACACATAAAGGGGAAAAGAGAGAATGAACTATGAAACTAAGAATAAAATGGAACGACTTACCTCCTTAACAATCTTGCCTGGACTTTGTTTCTTTTCGACGCAATATATGTAAATGGCGAGAAGCATGAACTCGTGCATCTCTAAATTTTAGTTAGAACCTTAAGCGAAGCAACAAAACTATGAATTATCAGTGGAGCATGCTAACTGGCCTCCCTTAACTACCTTCTGAATATTTCTTATGAGCAAATCTAAAGCTCTATTCTTGTAACCAATCTCTCACTAGCAAGGTAAGAATAGACTCTACCTCGCTCTTAGTCTCACCTCAGACCCAAATGCAAACTCAACATCACAGACAAAAATTTACCCAATTGTACGCAAACTGAGGGCCCATAACCCCTCAGCCACATCAAACAATTTTAAGCTACAAGGATAAATTGCAATAAACAAGATCAAATCACTTCTCAAATTTACAATAGAGTAAATCGTAGAGAAGTGAACCAACCAAAATTTAACCACCAACTCCTTGTCATACGCATTAGCTAACAGTTCTAAGGACAAACAATCATCATGCAAGACCTAATTCCTCTCCTAAATTGGGAAATTTTGAGCCGCATGCAAATCATTGTCGAAGACGAAATCCAATGACAGTTAGTACCAAGAAACACACCTGTAAGTAGCGGCGCTCTTCCTTGGAGGTATCTACACAAATCGAATTAAAAAAGATCAACAAAAATTAGGAAATTGATCGAATTTTGCTGAAATCGACAAGTGGGATTTGAAGTCAAGAGTTGAGTACCAAATACACGTAGCACTCGCTAACTTGGAAGAGTATCAGTTCAACAGCTTCTGATTCCTCTTTCTCTTCTTCTTCATCGTCTTTACGATGATCTAGGGTTTGATTGGGTTTTTCGTCCATGAGCAAAATAATGGGAAATATGACTTTGTTTCTTTTTTTACTGATTTTTTTGAGGATTTTTGTTTGGTGGCCTTTCTCGTCTGTTCTATAAGTTATTAGGTGAGTCTAAGACGAGTAGAGATTTTGTTGATTAATTAATTATTACTTTAATTGTGTTATTAAGGGTATGTTTGGTTGATTTTCTAAAACCAAACAAAAGAAAATAAGATAAGGAAAAGTTGATTTTAATCAATTTTCTTCAAAAAATTTATAAAATAAATTTTCTTATAAATGAGTGACATCATTCAATAATATGGTGACAACTCAATTCATTTCATCTCTATTCTTAATTTTAAAAAGGGAACCAAACACAATAAAAAAACCGATTATAGAAGAAGAACAAAGAAAAATAGCGTGTTAGATTTTAGTAGATTGATGCTGAAATAAAAAGACAGTTATTTCTTTGGGTATACGTAATGTATGCCCGAATATTCCATTGATTGAGAAAATGGAAAAAATAAAAATAAAATAACACACAATAAAATAAATGCACCAAGCCGGGAATCGAACCCTGGTCTATACCGTGGCAGGATAGTATTCTACCACTAATACGGATGATGTTAACAGATGATTAACCGGAGGGCTTTTATAGTGTAAGATCTCATGCTCAAGAAAATGATAACAAATAGATAAAAGATCAAAACTGAGGGCCAATAATTTCGTAGTAACCAGCTGTCAAATCTTTCTTTATTAGCTACTCCAGAAAGTCGTACCTCTAATTTGCTGATGAATATAGACCTTAGTGCATATTGAACATTTTGACCTCCAGTAATCTGATTTTAAATGAAACCATATACTCTTCCGTCCTCGTTCATACAACATGAGAATGCGAAATCTACTATGTTTATGTTAAATTGTTAATAGAGACCAGAATTGCGACCAGAGTTATTACAAATATACATCTGCAAAATTTCAACTAGCAAAATAACTAATCGAAGTATGCAGTGCAAGAAGTAAAACTGCGGCCGGAACAACGCATTTAGGGGGGTTATTCGTTGGTGTAATTTGGGGGATAATGAGATAATTTGTGGAACATCAGTGTTTGGTGTTATTGGTTGGAGTAATTGGAACTGGAGTGAACTCTTTGGTGTTATTAGTTTGTTGGTGTAATTTTCCCCCAAAAACTCTATTACCCAAAAAATTATCCCAGCTATATAAGCCCCCCTCAGCCCCCAACCCCAAAATTACCCCCTATCGCCTCCTGGAACAAAAGAGGGGAACGAATTACACCACTTCCGATCTCGAGCTCGATCGCCGAGGTCGTTCACCCGCTCCTCCGTCGTCGTTCTCTAGCTTGAGAGCCAGCTCCTCCGTCGTCGTTCTCGAGCTCGATCGCCCGCTCCTCTGTCGCCCCCTCGAAGAGATCCGACGCCAGCATCGTCACCCTCAACGTCACCGTTCTCGAGCTCGATAGCCCTAGCTGGGCCCACCATCGTCATTCTCGAGCTCGATAGCCCTAGCTGGGCCACCTCCGTCCTCTCCGACCCCCTTCCCTTAATCGACCGCGACCCCAACTCTGTCGCCGTTCTCGAGCTCGAGAGCCCCGAGCCGGGATTTCCCCACCGCCATCTCCTCCGCCTCCTCCTCCGCCGCCGCCTCCGTCGCCTCAACCGGCTCTCGAACCCAGGTACGTGCCCTTTTCCCCCAACAGTCGGAAAACAACTCTTTGTTTTTTTTAATTAGTTATTCAGCGGTATATGCTCCAGCCAACTAGCTGCACATGATCTGCATATGGTCATTTAGATGTCTGTTTTATGACATCCCTTGTTCTGCAGTTTACAAAACTGAAGAATTTGATATGTAATAACATTAAACCCCACCCTTAACAAACTTGAATCGATGCTTTGTGTTCGGTTGGCATGTGTTTTTTATTTGATTAAAGGAGGATCGTGTATGGCATTGTAGAATAAATGCATAATGAAAATAAACCTTAATTTTTTTGTATTAGCCTAATGAATAATAAGGGAGACATCTGCTTTTGAAGAAAAGAGAAAGGGCAGAGGCAATATAAGAGGGTTGAGGATAACAATGGGAAAGGGTTGAATGATTTCTATAGTCATGAACATGTCATTGACCGCAAAATTTTGATTCTTCTATATACAAAATTTAATTCTTCTATATACAAAATTTGCAACTAATGTGAAACGTTTAATTACAATTCCAAACATGTTCCAGTGGTTGCAATGGAATGATTGTCGTTGTTTTCCTTTGTGCAAGTCAGTTCTAGGTTTGTTCTGTATTTGCTTTAGAAAGGTTGTCATTCTTGTACAAATTCTAATATTTTTTTTCCCAAAATCATGTCGTAATTGTTCCTGAATGGTTATTTGTATAAGAATATGCTGAATGCCAGAACTATTTGCCAGAAACTAGGCCTTGTTAATGTGAGGATAGAACTTATACATTTCAGGTAGATGAACGTGTATTACGTCAAACATTTACATGAAGTTGACGTCCAATTGCAGAACTCTTTTATTCGCAACGTTTTTGATTGCATTCTTGTGCTTTATATCCTCAACAGATATTGATGTAGGGAGCAAACGGTTAACTCTACTGGAAAGCGGTCGCTCAAGGGAGTTTTGATAGATATTGCCACTCAGGTGCTTCTTCTCTGATGTGATTACACTGTCACTACAACCCTGTCTTTTTAATAATAGTTTATCTCTTTCTTCAAAATGGTTTACCATATTCTTGTATCAATTTGGAACCAGAAGTAACCATCTTTTGGGTATTTTATCCGTATTGGGTAGGATTGGTTAGAAATAGTTAGAAACTCAAAATAAGGTTTTGGTCATTTTAGCTTTCATTTTGCATTGGCGGCTTTCACATTTCTGCCGCCAATTTTTTTGGAAATCTTCCTATATGGTAAGTGTGCTACTTGAGCATTGCTATAACAAATCTGAGATATATGTTTCTTTTTGTTAGGTGAACGGAGATAGACTTGACAGAGAGTTGGGGCATGCTCAGGGAAATGCTTACTATTCAAATTTATTTCATGCATCTTGTTGTCCGTTTTTAAGGAAAATTCAACCAACATTTGATGCTCTGAGCTCCATGTTTCCACAAATAAGGCACCTGGCTATTGAAGAATCTTCTGCCATGCCGAGGTACAGGCATGATGAGTAAAAAACCCCTTGCATTTGTTGTTGTACGACAAGTAGAGTCTGGCAGTCTGCCATCTTCTCGTGTTATGTATGGTTCTCGTGGGAACTGATTCTTCTCATTTTGGCTTGGGCACATGTGAGCTAAAACCATCATGGTTGTAAATTTTTGTGCACTTAACATTTCTGTATATTAAAAGTGGTTAGTTTGCAACTGGGGATTGTCTAATGTTCAACGTTTACGACTTCTTAACAATGATGTTGTGACTTGTGACTTACTGATTTTGTCATGGATTGAGGTTATATTGCAAGATAATGCCAATATGTTATTTTACTTGGTTGGAGAGAGTAAATTGAATTGCATTCATTAAATTGAATTGCGTGTATCGGTCTGCATAATTTTCTGAAGATGGAGAACTCCAACGATGACTTTGAAGTTTTCGACCTTCCTCCAGAGGCACCACGCAATATTGCAATTAAAAAATTTGTTAATTTAGTATAATAGTTAAAATAAACATCAAAATATTTTAAGATTGATTAATATTAATATTATTATATTATTTTTAATATTTTATATTAAAATAATCTTAAAAATAATATTATTTTATATTATAACTATTATTTATTTAATCATTTGATGTTATGTAAAGTTAAAGCTATAAATATAATATTATAAAAAGATGTCATACTAATTATCCCACTCAAATTGTCCCATTACCCCATTTTACCCCACTTTATCCCACTCAAATTATCCCATTGGGTAAAATTACGGAGAAATTTTTAAAACAGCCCATTTTTCAATTTTATTGTGCAAAATCGACCGTCTCAGAAATTAATTAGCAAAAACAACCGAAAAGGGTCGATTTTGCAATTACGGAACTGCACGGGACTAGTAGTCCCGTGCAGTCCGCCTACCCCACTAACTCCGCTTTCTTTTCGTTCGTTTCGTTCCTTCTTTCCTTCTGCGATCTCGTGACCACTCTCCCCCGAAGAAAAAAAAAACCTGCTGGCCTCGTCGACCCCCGCCGCCGATCACCGCCATTTTCCGTCGCCGCCGATCACCGCCATTTTCCGTCGCCGCCGATCACCGCCATTTTCCGTCGCCGCCGATCACCGCCATTTTCCGTCGCCGCCGATCACCGCCATTTTCCGTCGCCGCCGATCACCGCCATTTTCCGTCGCCGCCGATCACCGCCATTTTCCGTCGCCGCCGATCACCGCCATTTTCCGTCGCCGCCGATCACCGCCATTTTCCGTCGCCGCCGACCCCGACGCTCTCGTGACTGAGCCTTCAACCCCCCCAAACCCTAGCCTTCAACTTCGACTTCGACCCCCTGCCATTTGCAGTCGCCGCCTAACCCTAGCCCTCCGACCTCGTCGCGCATCCGACACCATCGACGCCCACCGAACCCCCATTCTCAGGTGTGTTTTTCTTTTTAATTTTGCTGTTAATTTGGGAGTTAGGGTTTAGTTTAGCAATTATTTACATATGAGAGGGTTTAACAATTATTTTTGAGAGGGATATTCATCAAATTTGCTGTTAATTTTGCTGTTAATTTTGCTAGAATTGGGTAGGATTAGTTTTTATTTTGTGCAATAGGATGAATAATGTGGTTTGGGGGTTAGGGTTTAGCAATTATTTACAAATGATGAATAATAATTAAGGGTGTAGCCATTATTTGAGATTGATTAAGGTAATAAATTTGATGTTGATTTATTCAGATATTAATAGATTATTTGCATATGATGGACTGTGTATTTTCAGTTTCGATGACGAACTCCATATCCATTATTTGTTTCTTTAATGGGAGCCTCGGCGTCGGAGTGAATAATTTGCCGGTGTATGATGGAGGTTCTCGGAAAATGTTCATGCTATCTAAGTCGTGTAATTTTGATGGAATGACTAGGGAAATACACAGAGTTACTAAAATTAAGAAAGAAGAATATACAATTAGGGTGTTCTTCAACTGTCCGATAAATGAGAGTAGAACTATTGCCGTGGAGATTACCGAAGATGAGGAATTGAATGACATGAAACAATTAGTCGAGAAGCAAGCGTCAATTGAGTTGTTTATTGAGAAGTATCCGATTCAGGAATTTGCCCAAGTTTCACGACCTCAAGGAGAGTTTTCTCGGATGCTTGACTTAGACAACGAGTCGATTGGTTTTATGACATCTCCAAGTCAAGAGCCATGGTCTCAACCACAACATTTAAGTGAGTATTCTATCGGTGGGACGTCAACTAATATATTTAACGACGCTTCAGGTCATGTTACGGGTTACCCACCAGTCGGAGCAATTATAGAAGATGAAGCAGATGATGATTCAGATCATTTTGAAGAAGATGGCGTGCAAATTGATAGCATGCATGTGGCAGCTGGAATCGATGATGACGCCCGTTGGATGGAGCAATTTAACGTTAACAATGATTATGTGGAAGCTGAAGATCCGTTGCCCGACGAGTTTCATAATGAGGATTGGATAAATACTTCTCAAGCTGGATTTGTTGATGTTGGGCCAAATTTACAACGACCTGAGGACTTCACTTTTAAAAAAGGGGATCTATTCGAGAGCAAGGAGGCACTGATCTTTGCAATCCGAGAATGGTCCATCAAGAATCGGGTCAAATTCAAGCCGGTAAAAACTAATGCAACAAACTACAATGTGAAATGCTTCTTTAACGATAAGAATGAAGTAGAGAACGCAAATGAGCAAGATGAGAGAAATAAAAAATGTCCTTGGTTGCTAAATGCCGCTGTGAGAAAATCATCAAATGGGCAATTTGTAATATGTAGATATTGCGGACTTCACACATGTTGCAACCCGTCGGTGGATGTCGATGATTATTCTGCATCTTCTTCTTATATATGTAAGCTAATTATGCCTGAAGTTAGAGCTGAACTTGATCTGAATGCAGGTCAGATATTTCAGAGGGTATATGACATGCGGGGGATTAAGATATCTAAATATAAGGCATATGATGCAAGGAGGAAAGCGTTGTCTAAAATTTTTGGAGATTGGGAAAAATCATATGAATTACTTCCACAGTATCTTGAAGCTATCAAACGAAATAATCCGGGTACTGAATACGAAATATTATCCGAAGAGATTGCACCGGGTATGGAGAGGTTCACTCGCGTGTTTTGGGCATTTGGTCCTGCTATTAAGGGCTTCACTTTTTGTCGTCCGCTATTGAGCATTGATGGTACACATTTATATGGAAAGTACAAAGGCGTGCTTCTTGTAGCGACCGGTGTAGATGCAAATGGCGGGTTATTTCCTCTAGCATTTGCAGTCGTGGAGGTGGAGGATACGTCTAGTTGGAAGTGGTTTTTTGAACTTATATACAAGTGGATTCCAAGTGTCCGTGCGCCAAGAATAATTACCTTTATTTCGGATAGGATGAAAGGAATTATAAGGGCGTTACATGAGGGTTTTAGTGCACCACATCACCATCGATATTGTTTAAGGCATATAAGAGATAATTTCAAGAAAAAACACGGTGAGATTAATTTGCAAAATCTTTTGTGGCAAGCCGGGTGTGCGACCGACACATTAGTGTATGAACATTGCAGGGAGAAAATCAAGTCTTTGTCATTAGATGCACATAATTGGATTGAAAATAACTTGAAGCCTCAATTCGAGCATCGGTGGGCATTATGTAAGGATGAGGGTGTGCGGTTTTGCATGATGACGACTAATTGCTCCGAGAGCTTTAACGGCGTTCTTAAAGGAGCACGAGCTATGCCAATACAATCTTTGGTTGCGAGAACATTCTATAGACTAAACGCATACTTCAACAAAAGGCGTGGTGATGGCATAGACTGGACAACACGTTACACACCAAAAAATGAGTCCATTTTGCATAGAAGAATTGAGGCAGCAAGATCATGTCAAATTACTGTATTCAACGACAACGAATGGCAGGTACAAGATTGTGACGGTATCTACACCGTTAAACTATTTGATGTTGATTGCACTTGCACATGTAACATACCACAACTCCAAAAAATACCCTGTGCACATGTGCTTGCGGCTTCTTCTAATCAGCCGGGAGGTGCTAGAATTCCCAGAAATCGGTATTGCTCGCCTTGGTATTCAACAGCTCACTATCAAAAGACATATAGTGAGAGTTTTCATCCACCTGATGATAGTCGGTATTGGCCTGAATATAATGGACCACATATAGTTCCACCTCAGTACCGGAGACAAGCAGGTCGACCACGATCTGTGCGAATTAGGGGAACCATGGATCAAGGGCGAGAAGGAGTGGTCAAGCACAAAAAATGTAGTCTTTGCAAACAACCGGGACATACTCGACCTCGTTGTCCATCTAGACACAATAGATAGCAACTAATTGGTAATTTATATCATTTTTTTATTTTTATATACTTTAATAAAGAAACTGAATTACTATATGATTGATTATTAACATGTGTATAATTATATGTGCAGGTTTGTACACCATGGATCCTGGGCCGGTTAGTGATGAGGTCTTATATGACCAGGCTCAGCATCGTTCACATATTATATCCTGTACAGAGGTAATTCAGTTACTTTATAATTGTAATATTTGCATTTACATAATATTGCATTCTTATACTATCATTGTCTATACAGAGAGGTCCGAGTATCGTTATGGTTGATCATAGCCTCAGCCATAGCCGTTGGCGGTTAGAGGATGAGCGTATCATAGCAGCTGTGGGACGGGCCGGCTTCTTGACTTGTTCAAAGCTTCGTTGGATAAAGCTCGATTGGCCCCTACTGATTGCGTTGATGGATAGATGGAGACCTGAGACCAATACTTTCCACTTCCGAATGGGTGAGGCTACCATTACTCTACAAGATGTATCCGTGATACTCGGTCTCCGTATAGATGGTCCGTGCATTACCGGCACTGATAGTGATGTATGGCCTCGAAGATGTGAGGAGTTGTTAGGTGTAGCTCCAGAGACTATGCCTAGAGGAACTATTAAGTTGAAGTGGTTGAGAGAGACCTTCTCAGTACCGTTGCCTGTTGATGCCCCACAAATTTTGGTTGACCAACATGCACGTGCATACATTATGCACATGATTGGTACTATATTATTTCCAGATTCAAGTAAAGATAAAGTGCATGCGAGGTATGTGTATTTATAATATGAATCTGTATTTCATTGAATTAGCTTATTTTAATAAATTGGAATATTGTGAATATGCTAGGTGGTTACCACTCCTCGAGGACTTGGACGTATGTGGTACAAAATCGTGGGGTAGTGCTGTTTTGGCGTATTTATATAGAGAGATGTCAAAAGTGGCACTTATGCAAAACAGTGAGCTTAAAGGGTGTCTAAGCTTATTGCAAGTATGGGCATGGGAGAGACTTCATTTGAAGCCAAGACTATGCACGCATTTACAATTAGATGGACAAATTCCACTGGGATGCAGGTATTGTATTTTTAGTGTAGCGAATATAATTGTAGTTATCATTGTGGTACTAAATGTATGATAAATATTTTTTTGTAGATGGAATGTCGAAAAATGCTATGACGAGACCCCGGCTAGACAATTGGATTTCTACCGGAATGAGCTTGACCGTATGAAGATTTTTCAGGTAATTCTCACCGAAAAACATGCGTTTTTTCTTCTACATACTGAAAACCCAATTCTGATATGCAACTGCAATAAATTATTGTAGATGGAATGGGAGCCCTACACCCAATTTCTACCTCAGCTACCCCCAATATGCACAGAATACCAAGTTGTATGGAGAGCTAGAGTTCCTCTTATATGTTTGGAGATAGTAGAAATGCATGTACCGGACCGCGTGCTTCGACAATATGGTCTTGCACAACATGTTCCGCAGTTTGTTGAAAAGATAGAGAGGAAGGCAAAGAAAGGAGGCCAACAAATAAACTGGATGATCGTGCATCAAGCTTTTATACACAAATGGAATGATAGGCATTTTTGTATTGTCAACCAAATTGAACCAACTCCTCGGGAATCAGATTACTACACTTGGTATTGGGACATAACCCGAAGATGGATACTTCATTCGACCACAATACCGGTTGAGTCGCAAAGAGGATATGTGCCCCGGGGTATAGATGAGAGAGAATTAGTAAGTATTTTCATATTTTGATTTAAGTCCATTTTTATTGGTACTTTATGTGTTGAAAAATTTGCAGGTATCAGCAATAGATGAAGTTCAAACTCTTGCAAATCGTGGTTTGGAATTGGCTCGAGCAGGTACGAAAAAATTAAATCTCAAATTTACATTCTGTAATATCAAATTTAATATGAAATTTTGTTTTTGAACTATCTATCGCAGCAGATAGAAATCCCGAAGCACATGAACATGTATCAATATATCAGGCTATAATGCAGAGGCTTCAACAAGCCTTACACCGAACTCACGAAGATCGTCATGATGGACGGGAGGTAAGGTCATTCGTATATACACGACAACAGCGACAAAGTCGAGGACGACGCAGAAATAACGATGAAGCTGGACCTTCCCAACGTGTCGACGATGGAGCTGGACCGTCACAACCACAAACGCAACCGGATCACGAACTCGTCGAAGGGCGGTATGGAGGACGACGAAGACAAAGGAGGAGGAGGAGAGTTCTTGGATGTATGTAAACTACAGGTTATATACATTACAAAACTATTTAGGGATGTGGTTTTTGGATTTGTAGTCGATAATATCGTGTGATATGTTTGATTTCTAAGTGGGTTTGTGGTGTTATTATGTTGGATTTGTTAGTGGGAGTTTGTGGTGTGATGTGATTTGTTTGATTTGAAATGAGTATGTGGTGAAATCAGTATGTAATTTGTTAGTGGGAGTTTGTGTGGATGTATGCACAGGGACTACATGAAATGCAGTGGTGAAATGAGTATGTGACTTGTTAGAGGAAGTTTGTGTTGATATATGCACAGGAACTACTTGAAATGTAGAGAAAATTGCACAAAAATGTGCACAGCGAGTGCACAAGACTGCTAGTCCCGTGCACTTGGTGTTCAGCAAACGGGTAGTGCTCTCTGCTTAAAAGTCGGGACTGCTAGTCCCGACTTTTAAGCAGAGAGCAGCTGCTGGAACACCAAGTGCACGGGACTGATAGTCCCGTGCACTGGGTTTCAGCAGCGGGTTTGCTGAACACCAAGTGCACGGGACTAGCAGTCCCGTGCACTTCGGAAATCACCCTCCGCTGCAAAACCGACCCTTTTCTCCTGAAAAGGGTCGGTTTTGCTAATATTTTTCAGTTTAGGTCGATTTTGCCTATTAAATTTTAAAAATGGTTGGTTTTAAAAATTTCTCCTAAAATTACCCCATTGGAACAATTTACCCCAAATTACCCCAAATTACACCAACGAATAACCCCCCCAGTGTCAAACCAGCAGTAGAGTTTACTGAACCAAGGCGCTCATTAGAAACCGGAAAAGGATAGTTTACTGAACTCTCCAGCAGTCTACAAATCTAAACAGCCACACCATCAAAATCCAAGTCTTACATCAGAAGATAATAATTTGACATTGTTTGATAACACAAAACTTGCTATTCCTAGCAAAGCTAACGCGTCAAGATTCAGATATCACGAATTGAGAAGCTACTCCCTCGTAGCAATTCGCAGACACTGCACCAAAAAAGAAGGGGATTAGAGTGCATTCTTCCAATTAATTTAATACAAGTGAATCCAACGAAATGTAATTAAGATCCAGAAGTTTTAGTTGTAGACATGCATAGTTTACAGAAACAAAAATAAGTTGGGCTTTTTGTCTTTAGGTCCAATAGTTTACCTCCCTTTATTTTTAAACCCAAGTAGTATTAGTTGTACCCATCGGCGTGTCCGTTCTTTCATCTGCCTAAAAGGTATGTTTTTTCTACCGAGCTTTAGAATTTTTAAATTTTTATTATGTATTGTTGAATTTAGTTTAAAAACCCTAATTTATGATAAAAAAAAATAAGCGAGTTCAATTCTAAAAACCCTAACTTAACTACATGTTAATTTATTTGAACAACACCAGTAATCATATTTTTTTTAAACACTTATAAACCCTAACTCATTTAAGTTTTATTCGTGCTATAAGTATGGGTGATTATTTAAGTTTGTGATGTGAAAATATGTGAAATAATTTTTTTTTAAAAATAGGGTGATATATAACACATTATAAATTTTTATAATGTGTTATAATCCAATTTAGGTGAATAAAAAAATAACGTTATCCCTAGACTTCCGTCCAATAATTACATCTAATTATTTGGACTTATAATATATGATATACGACTCAGATTTGGGTAGGAGACGAAGTTTTCTCCCAAAAATGAGCGTTTATTTTATATTATAGGAATAAAAAATTGGTACTGAAATTCGTAATTATTGGATCTGTTCTTCTCGGACGGGTTAGGAATATAGTTGTGCATACATCCAACTTTGTATACTTTGTATATTTTCATTCTTGAAAGTTTTGGCAGCACCTATTCGTTGTTCTCCGTGTATAATAAGCGTATGTTGTTCTGCGTTTTGGGTTATTACTGATACGCATAATAACATCTGTACAGTGTACAGGGAGAACAGCGGGTAGGTGCTGCCGAAATTTTTAAAAAACGAAAATATACAAAGTATATGAGGTTGGATGCAAGCACTACTATATTCTTAATGGATAGAAGCCTTCCTATGACAGCCGTAAGATTAGTGTAATTAGTTTCTACGTTAAATGATATATGAACGTATGTTTGATGTGTGTTGAATGTATAAGAGTAATGGATGTATTAGTAGTTGTGAGACTAATCGTATTTAATATTTATATATAATTTACAGATGAGGATAATTCCTGACAAGTCATGGATAGATATCCCTAGGTATCGTAGATTTCACGACACACGATACAAGGAGGGATGTGAAGCCTTCATGCGTTATGCGGAAATGAATCCGAGAAATTTAAGAAGCGGTGCTATGTATTATCCTTGTTATAGGTGTAGGAATTTGAAGCTGCTAAATAGAAATGATATACGGATTCACCTAATAAAATCAGGTTTTGATGAGAAATATAAATACTGGAACTGGCATGGGGAAGGTATCACTGAAGATGAGGATCCAAATATGCATGTTGGTACGTCCGGTGGCTAACGAATAGATGACACAGAAACATTGTTGAATGATATTTTTTCTCGACCTACAGAATATGATGTTGATGATAATGTCGAGGATGATATTGGAGACAAAAGTGAAGATGATAACGAAGTTGAAGCTGAAGAGGTAGGAGGTGTCACGAGTGTCGAAAATATTGATGATATGCATTCCTCCGCAGAAATAAAGCGAATAATGGAGCTACTAGAAGATAGTGAAAAGGACTTATATGAGGGATGTACTGAGTACTCCAGATTTTCATTTATGCTGAAACTCCTTCATATTAAAACACTTAGCGGTATGTCAGATAATTATTTTGAGATGCTTCTTGATTTGCTTCGGACTGTAATCCCTGGAGGAGAGAATAGCATACCCCAAACAACTTATCAAGCTGAGAAGATTGTCTCTGCTCTGGGTCTTGATTATAATAAGATTGATGCATGTCCGAATGATTGTATTTTGTACCACAAAGCCAATAAAGACCTTCAAGAGTGTCTGACATGTGGAGTTTCTAGGTGGAAACAGCGCACAAATTCTTCAACAAGGATTATAACGGAGACAGGGATAACACAAAAAGAAAATTCCAGTCAAAGTGCTTAGACATTTTCCATTGGCTCCTAGATTGCGAAGATTATACATGAACAAGGAAACGGCAAAAAATATGAGGTGGCATAAGGATGATCGAGTAGACGATGGTAAATTGAGATATCCTGCTGATGCTTTAGCTTGGAAGCATGTTGATAAAATTTATCCTCGTTTTGCCGAAGATTGCAGAAATGTAAGATTGGGTCTATCAAGCGACGGATTCAATCCATTTGGGATAATGAGCTCTGGATGGTCTACGTGGCCAGTTGTATTAATGCCATATAATTTACCTCCATTGCTTTGTATGAAACAGCCGTTTATGATACTTTCATTATTGATACCCGGTAAGCATGCTCTAGGAAATGATATTGATGTCTACTTGGAGCCTCTAATTGATGAGCTAAAACAATTATGGTCTGAGGGTATTTTAGCATATGGTGCCCATTTAAAAGAGTCGTTTAGATTACGTGCTATTCTATTATGGACGATTAATGATTTTCCAGCTTATGCTAATCTGTCCGGGTACTCTACGAAGGGCAAGTGTGCTTGTCCTGTATGTGGTCCAGAATTTGAAGCTCTTCAATTACCACATAGCCGAAAGAGTTGTTATTGGTTTAATCGAAGGTGGTTGCCCTTGAGTCATAAGTACAGAAAATTATCAGCTAAGTTTGATGGCACAGTTGAGAAAAGAATGAAGCCGCGTCAACTGACAGGTAATGAGATCGTTCAATTACTTGAGGGGTTTCCAAAAGTTGTGTTTGGAAAAAACACTATTCTAAATTTAACCCGCTCGGAGTAAGAGATTACTTAAAGTTAAAAAAACCATTGAAGCGTAAGCGAAAGGTCCGTAAAATGCAAGTTGAGGATGAAGCCCAAAAATTACCTAGATGATGGACTAAATTTAGTATCTTCTTTCAGCTACCTTACTGGCAGAATCTTAAAATCCGACACAACTTAGATGTTATGCATATTGAGAAAAATATATGTGATAACATAGTATCAACTCTCCTACAAGATGCAAACAAGTCGAAGGATGATCTACGGGCGCGCCAAGATCTGACTGCTTTGAATATCCGAAATGATTTGCAAGCTCAAGACGTTGGCCTTAAAAAATTAAAGTTGCCTCCGTCTCGTGTTACAATGTCAAATGAGCAGATGCAACGAGTTTGTGAAATTCTCAAATCGGTAAAGTCGCCGGATGGTTACTCTGCTAACATTTCAAATAATATCCAGGTACAAGAGAGAAAACTCTTAGGTCTGAAGACACATGATTATCACGTTCTTCTCCATCAATTGCTCCCTGTTGCAATCCGTAACAATATGGATAAAGAAGCGTCGAAGATTATTATTGAGTATTGTGGATTTTTCAGAAAATTATGCTCTAAAGTCATAGATGTAGATGAATTTAAAAAACTTGAAGCTGAGGTCCGAGTTACTCTATGCAATATGGAAGTAATATTCCCTCCTTCATTTTTTACAATTATGGTCCATCTTACCCAGCATCTTGCAAGAGAGGCTAGAATCGCCGGTCCTGTTACTTATCGTTGGATGTATCCGATTGAAAAGTAATTTATAATTTTTCTTATATTTAATTAATTGTATACATGTTTTTAAAATTACCATGCTAATAATTAACTTTTATGATTATAAGATACTTGGGCTGCATGAAAAACAATGTTCGTAATCGAGCTCGTCCCGAGGGCTCGATAGCTGAAGGATACGTGGCTAACGATTGCTTTGTGCTTGCATCACGTTACATGCGTAAGAAGAAAACCACATCTCAAGCACCTCAAAAGGAGAGGAAGCGTGAAAAATACCCGAGATCTCTCTTAGATCAAATTCATGCATATGTGTTGGAAAACCTTGATATGTTCGAAGACTATCGAAGGTAACAAATAAAATCTGTAATATAGATGAGAAATATTCATTTTACATATAGTTTATCAATACAAACTTATATATTGTTTATATAGGCGACATCTGGAGAAGCTTAAGAATGAAACAACCAGTAGGAATGCAGCGCACAATATTCAAAAAAGACATAAGAAAGAATTTTCTGATTGGTTAAGAACTGATGTAAGTGTTTTACAATTAATTATTGAACATTCATAATATAACATCACCTAAATATTCTCAAATTGTTTGTCTTAGGTTGAAAAATCACTTCTTGATGGTACTACATTACCAGATGAAATTATTATCCATGCACAACGCCCTTATCACGAAGTGAGACGTTATA